CATGTCCTGACTCCCTTATCCAAGAGAGAAGTGTACGAAGACTAGCTTAAAATTAAAAAGTCCTATGATAAGTTCATAAGACGACAGACAAATGGAGGTAATGACCCCATAGGGACTAAGAATTGTTTCTTCGTACAAGAGCAGATAGTTGTTCTAAGTTTCGTTGTGTATTGTTTGGTATTTTCCTCAGCCTCTTTGTCCTTGGAAGAGAAAGTTCAAGAAAGTGCAAATTCAAGGACAAATCTTCTTGAAGAAAGGGGGATGATGTGATAATAATTGAGGAATAAATAGGAGAGTTGTGTGATCAATGAAGGGCAAAAAGATAAAACAGCAGTGAGCTTCTTGGACATATTCGCAAGTGTTCCCGAGTAAAAAGTGATCAAACTGAATCCACCCATGTAAGTAGTATATTTGGATTAAATACATCAGGACCTCGACTTAAAAATAAGCATAATTAGAAAAGATGAAAAATAAGGAAGTTATTGGGTTTTACAGTCAAGGAGAGACTCGACCCATGAATCTCAGCACAAGAGGAATCCCAAAACATAGTGTGCGTATGGATACCCATGACCTACACGTATGTGGGCCTTCACAAGTGCGAGATGTGGCCCCCACACATGCGAACGCATCACTTGCACGACCATGCATGTAGGTCATGCGAGCAATAGCACCCGCATGCCCCACAACATGTGTACAACCACGCAAGGAGCTACCTATATGTGCAACAACCACGCATGCACAGACAGATAGCTCCACACATCTAGTGCGCGTCCATAGGCGCACAAGAGATATCCCTCACGTGGGCAGCAATACACATGTGTGCAGGAGGCCAGATGCACACCCAACGCCTAGTGCCCAGCGCGCGCGAAAGACTGACCCCAGTGGGCGATCCTCGCCACCCACGCGCCTAGCTTGCACAACTCACGCGGCCAAAGCACGCCACCCGTGTATGAGAACCAAGCTGCCCGTGCGACAACCTTTTTCTATTCATTTTTGGACTCCCTTTTCGCATTTTTCAAATGCTATAAGAATTCCAAGTTAAGGGGATTTCATTAACAATTATTTCATGTGATTTAAATGGCAAAATTGGAGGAGAAAATTTAGTCATAATTGAAGTCCAAAGGAGATCAAGATTTTAGAAGATTTGGATAAGGATAAAATATTATATTAATATTTATTTTAATTATTTTAAGTATCTTAGGATAATATCCCATTATTTTAATAATTATGTATTTATTTTCTAATTAAATTAGGTCATAGAATTTGGATAGGAATTCTAAATCCTGTTCCAATTAAAAATCAAAAATAAAAGCCTATATAAAGGCTTAAGTTCTTAGTTTGTAAATATAACTTTTGAGATTAATAAAATTAAAGCTTTGAGCTTTCTTCAAGAATTAGCTTTG